GCCGCGGGGCCTAGCGGCGCTGGGGCCCACACCTACCCGCTCTCCTTGCAGATGAGCTGACCTGCAGCGCCCGGCTGACGGTGCGGCCCTCTGTCCAGCCGCTCTTCACCCGCAAGCTGGAGGACGTGGATGTGATGGAAGGGCGGACAGCACATTTTGACTGCATGATCAGCGGGACTCCCCCACCGACAGTCACCTGGACCCACTTTGGTAATCTCCCAAGCCCAGGACTCTGCTGGGGCTCTACAAGGAGGCCTCCACCCCCATCCTCCTGGGGGTGTGCATCCTCAGCTCCAGCCCTGCATGGAAATCCCAACTCTCCTAGCCTGTCTCCTGGCCTCCTGCCTCTTGGCCACGCCAGGAGGGAAGGAGCCCTGCCAAGGCGCTGGGCTCTTCGCAGGGGCTACCAAGGGCTCTGCCCTGCTCCTGCCCTGCCTGGGGCTGGCAGGAGGGTACCGACACCATGTGCGTGTCTCTGTGCAGGGCAGCCAGTGCAGGAAGGGGAGAATGTGCGGATTCAGCGGGACGGGGGGCTGTACTCGCTGGTCATCGTGCATGTGGGCAGCGAGGACGAGGGACACTACACGGTCACCGCCAGGAACGCCCACGGCCACGTGGAGTGCTCTGCCGAGCTCTACGTGGAGGAACCACGGCCATCTGCTGCTTCCCAGATGTAAGAGCCAGGATGGGGGGTGCTTGCCAGGCAGTATACATGGTCCTGGGGGAGCCCACCATGGACTGGGCTGGGAGCATCCTGCCTCCCCCTCATGCGGAGCCCATGTGTCCGTGGTTGCAGCTCTAAGCTGGAGAAGATGCCATCCATCCCAGAGGAGCCAGAGCAGGCGGAAAACGAGGTGGAGTGCTTCACCATGCCAGACTTCCTCAAGCCGCTGCACAACCTGGACGTGGTGGAGTCCAAGGAGGCAGTGCTGGAGTGCCAGGTGGCCGGGCTGCCCTACCCCTCCATCACCTGGTTCCACAACGGCTCCCGCATCGACAGCACCGACGACCGCAAGATGATGCAGTGTAGGGCTCCCTGCATGCTCAGACTGATCGCACCACAGCAGGGCTGGCAGCACTCACGGGAGGTGCTTCTGGCACCACAGTGGCACCAGCTTGGAGTGGAGGGAGGGGGGACGGTGCAGCCCCTGCAGCTGTGCCTGCTGCCCCGCAGGGAGGAGGCATCACCTCCTAAACTTTCACACTCTGCTCTGCATGCTGATTTCCCAGCCTGATTGGCTTTCTGGGTAGGCAGCTCTGTGCCACTTTGCTAATGGGGATCTTGCCTCCCTGTGTTCCCCCTGTGCCCCCACAGATAAGGATATCCATCGCTTGGTGTTCACGGCTGTCAGCCATGCACATGCCGGCGTCTATAAAAGTGTCATTGCCAACAAAGTAGGGAAGGCCACGTGCTACGCCCACCTCTATGTCACAGGTAAGGAGTGAGCATCGCTGGGGCTTCACAGCCACTCACCGCCACCCCACCAGGTTGTGCCCTGGGGCTAAGGGGTCTGTGTTCCTTTGCAAGGTCGCAGGGTCAGATCTTGGGACAATTCAAGTTGGAAGGGACCTCACAAGGTCCCTAGCCCTGCCTCTTGCTCAAAGCAGGGTTAGCTATGAAGTCCTCACCTTGTAGGGTTTTGACCCATCCCTGTCCTTCAGACCCCACGAGGGATGTGCTGTCAGTGCTAACCCCACAGTCCCTGCCAGGCTGAGCCCCCAGGAGTGTCTGGGGTCTCCAGTGAGGATTTCTGGCCTGGTCTGTCCCCTCCAGTCCATGTCTCCCAGGGCATAAGGCAAATCCCCCTGAAATGCTGCTGGTGTTGGCCATGCCAGGGCACGAGCCCGGTGCCGGATGGATGTTTCCTGGCAGCTGACACCCCTCTCTGCTTCTTCCATGCAGATGTGGTGCCGACCCCTCCAGACGGGCCACCCACTGTGGCCTCGGTGACAGGTAGATGCATCACGCTGACATGGAACAAGCCCAAGTGGCTGGACACGGCCATAGGTGAGGGGTCCGGGGCTGGGGCATGGGGTGGGTGGGGGTTTTCAGCAGCATGACAGGGTGCACGGGCAAGCTCAAGTCAGCCCTGCGGCACCCTCTCCTGAGGGCTGTGCACTGATCCTCTCCCCACGCAGACCCTGCCTCGGTGACCTATGTGGTACAAATGCAAGTGCTGGGCACGACGCAGTGGATGGTGCTGGCTGCTGGCCTGCGGGACACCACCTACACAGTGCACAAGCTCACCAAGGGTGCCCAGTACCTCTTCCGTGTCATCACTGCCACCCCCAAGACCAACAGCAAGCCCTCCCCGCCTGTGGGGCCCATGCAGCTCCTGGATCGGGGTGAGATGGACAGCAAGGAGGGGATAGAGTACTGGGATGGAGGGCAGGACACAGAGGGGTCACCATCCCAGCGGTGTAGTGAGCGGCCTAGGGCTGGGTGGTGTGGTGTCTGGAGGCGGTGGTGATGATGTGCACGGCAGGTCCCTACCTGGAGGAGGCCCCAGTCATCCTGGACAAGCCAGACTTGGTGTATGTGGTGGAGGGCCAGCTGGCCTCCATCACCATCACCATCAACCACGTGGAGGCCGCCGTCACCTGGAAGAGGTAGGACACGATGCTGTGCTCTTCACCTGCCCCATGCCCAGCATCACCCCATGGAGTGCACAAAGGGGGTCCTGTACCAGCTGCCCATGTAGCCCTTAGCTGGGAAGTCCTCTGCTGAGGCTTGTCTGGGCATGCTGGAGGGTGCTGTTGAGGGCTGTGTGGAGCTGCTGGGGGCTGCGACCTGTCTGGGTGGTGCTAGGGGTTGAGAGCTGTCCAGGAGGCAGAGCTAGCTATGGGGTGCAAGCTGTTTGTGGGGGCTACAGAGTATTGTAGGGCAGGGGCTGTCTCTGAGTTCACCATGGGGCTGAGGGTCTGCAGCTGCTGCAGGACTGTGATTTGGGAGGTGGCCATGGGGCTGTGAAGTGGAACTGTCTATGGGGCTGCAGGTGGGAGCTTCGTATCGGCTGGGAGGTGGCCATGGGATGGGATGTGAGACAGGGCTGGTGGCAGGCTGACAGCATGTGCCCACAGGGGTGGGGTGGTGCTGGCAGAACAGCAGGGCGCATGCGAGGTGATGATGCCAGACGACGACCAGCACTGCCTGCGGCTGCTGCAGGTGGGCCGCGGAGCCGTGGGGCCGCTCACCTGCGAGGTGAGCAACCGTCACGGCACCACCAACTGCACCCTCCGCCTCTGCCTTGCAGGTAGGTGCCCCTGCATTGCCTCACGATGCCCTATGCCTGTGTGCTGTGGGGGTGGCCCTGTGCGCGGTGCCCCATGCCCAGGTACCCTGAGTTGGCATAGCCCCATGGTGCCACTTACCCATGTGCAATACGTGGCACTGCTGCGTACCTGTATGTAATGGCGTGGCACTGCCCCATGGTGCCCTATGCCCATCAGCCTTGGGGGCTCCTGCACAATGCCCCATACCTGCATCACTGCCCACAGGACCCCACATCCATGTGTAATGGGGAGATACTGCCCCACTAAGTCACATGCCATGTGGGGTGGGGTGGCACTGTCCCATGGTACCCCACACTCATACCTTGGGGGACTGTCCCATGCTGGCTCAGGCTCATGCCATTAAGGCATTGTTCAATAGTGCCCCACACCCATGTGCCCTGGGGTGACACTGCCTCATGATACTCCCTGCCCCTGTGCCCTGGGCTGGCACTGCCTCACAGTGCTCCATAGCCATATGCCATGGGAGCAGTACCCCATGGTGCTCCATGCCTGTGCCAGAGGGGTGACACTGCCTCATGGTGCCCCACGCCCCGTCTCTCGGCAGAGGCGCCACGCTTTGAGTCCATCATGGAGGACATCGATGCCCAGGAAGGCGAAACGCCACGCTTTGGCGTGGTGGTGGAGGGCAAACCACTGCCGGACATCATGTGGTATAAGGTGAGCTGGTACCCCAAAACCTTTTCCTGACCCACAGCCTCCCCACAAGCTCCACAGCATCTGCTCCCTGTCATTGCCTCACATATGCCCCTGCAACAAGACTTTGGGTCCGTGTCTGCCCCAGCGATGTAAGATGTGCCCCGTGCCAAAAGCCTCCAGCCCATCCTTGCACTCTGTCCGTGGAGAAGGGGTGCTAGCACTGAGAGCTGCTTGGGCATCGCATGGGGCCCCCTTGAACGCACTGTCACCCCCAGGATGGAGAGCTGCTGGAGGAGAGCAGCCACCTGAGTTTTGTGTACGAGGACAACGAGTGCTCCCTGGTGGTCCTGGGCGCAGCCGAGCCTGACAGTGGGGTCTACACCTGCACGGCCAGGAACCTCGCTGGGGAGGTGTCCTGCAAGGCTGAGCTTGTGGTGCGCACAGGTATGGCCGAGTCAGCCCTGCGGCACCCTCTCCTGTGCCCCAGCCCTGCCGGGCAGGTCCTTTGGTGTCTCGCTTCAGCCCTGCAAGTGCCTTTCCTCTCCCCAGCCCAGCCTGCTGCTGATGCCACGATGGAGGAGGATGGTCTACACAAGGCACGACGCCTGACTGACTACTACGATGTGCATGAGGAGATTGGGAGGTACAGAGCTGTGGGGATGTGGCAAGGGAAGGGATGTCTACTCTCCCCGGGGTGCTGGAGCCGCAGCTGCACCGTGGGGCTCTGACAGCAAGGACCGAGCTCCTTGGCCCTGCTAAACTGGATCCTTGCACTGGATGGGTTGTGGCCATTTTGGGGCACCAACGGGCATCCTGGTGCTAGCTCAGAGTGGGGATCCAGGGCAGCTGATGTGAAGCCAGGCCTAGAGTCTCCCTAAAATGGTCCTCAAGGGCTGCCAGGGGTGCATGAAGTTCCCTGCCGAGCAGGTGTCTGTCCAGGCCACCGTGGGAATGGGGAGGTCTCCTGCTAGGCTCTTTCCAAGCCTCCCCACCAACCTTCTTATTCCCCACTGCCTCCTCATCTCCCCGCATCGTTGCATTGCAGGGGAGCCTTCTCCTACCTGCGGAGGGTGACGGAGAAGAGCAGCCGACTGGACTTTGCTGCCAAGTTTGTCCCTGGGAGGACCAAGGCCAAGCAGTCGGCGCGCCGGGAGCTGCACATCCTCTCGCAGCTCGACCACGAGCGTATTGTCTTCTTCCACGACGCCTTCGAGAAGAAGAACGCCGTCATCATGGTCATGGAGCTGTATCCTGTGGGGACAGCCTGGGCATGGCCCAGGCGCAGCTTGGGGGCACACAGCGATGGGGGCACAGGGAAGAACTGGGGGCCAGGTGGATGGGCAGAGTGGGGTGCGGAGGAGCAGGGCATCGAGGAGGGTGCTGAACATGGCTGGGCATGGTGTTTCTGTGCTCCTTGACCAGGGTCCAGCTGCGCCGAGGATGAGCTGCTGGACAGGATGGCGAGGAAGCCTTCAGTTTGTGAGTCCGAGGTGGGTAATCCATAGGGAGCAAGTGACAGGGTAGAGAGAGAGCCTGGGGATACTGCGGTCTATCCCAGCCCAGAGGATATGCAGGGCCCATTGCAACATGCTACAGAGGAGGCTGCAGCCCCCTTCTTTCCTCTATATGGGACTGGTCCCCTGCCCCACATGGGGCTGACCCATGCCTGGAGCCAGTGTCCCCAGCCCCGTCTATCTCTCGCAGGTCCGGTCCTACATGCGGCAGGTCTTGGAGGGGATCTGCTACCTGCATCAGCAAAAAGTCCTGCACCTGGACATCAAAGTGAGTGTGGGGCTCTCCCGGCCCCATCCTGCTCCTTGTCTCCCTGCCCTGGCACACATGGGCTCGTAGCATTGGAGGGCAGGCTCTGGTCCTGCTCACAGGGGACATCCTACCTCCTCCTTGTCCCCAGCCCCCTCTCTGGGCTAGCTGCTCCCATCCCTTCCTTTGGGGGCTGCCCCATGCCCCTTGGTATCCCCTGTGGGCAGTACCTGCCCTGCCTTTCCCCTGGCAGCAGAGCCTCCTGCCAAGCTCCCGTCTGCCCACACTGTCCTGTAGCCAGAAAACCTCCTGATGGCGGATTCGAGCAGTGAGCAGGTCCGGATCTGCGACTTCGGCAATGCGCAGGAGCTGACTCCAGACGAGCCGCAGTACTGCAAGTACGGCACCCCCGAGTTCGTGGGTCCTGAGATCGTCAATCAGAGCCCCGTCTCCAGTGTCACCGACGTCTGGTAAGAGCAGCCCCAGTGCCAGGTTGGGCCATGGTCTCCCCGCTGCAGCCAAGAAAGCACAGGGGTGCACCAGAGAGTGCCCTGGGAGGCTTCGGGTGAGCTCTGGGGGGCGCTGGGAAGCCAAGGGCTAGGGGACTGGTGCTGTGCAGTAACTGCGCTCTCCTCTCCGCAGGCCTGTGGGGGTCATCGCCTACCTATGGTAAGTGCCTCGTCGTGCCCCCAAGGAGCCACAGAAGGGTCTCCCTTTCTGCTTCATTAGCAGTTTCAGTGCTGGGGTCTGGGTCACACATGCATCTCTGCAAATTCAGCTTCCTTCCCAGCCTGAAGGAAGGAAGGCTGGCCTGGCTTGACCTCCCCTGTGGCACTAGGGCTGGGATCCCGGATCCTTCCCTCAGTTCATAGTGTCCCCAGGACTTGCCGTGCTGTTCCCCACATCCCCATGACTTGATGACGTGTCCCCTCCCTTGGCAGCCTCACAGGGATCTCCCCCTTTGTGGGCGAGAATGACAAGACCACACTGATGAACATCCGCAATTACAACGTGGCCTTCGAGGAGAGGATGTTCCAAGGACTCACACGAGAAGCCAAGGGTTTTGTCATCAAAGTGCTGGTCAACGACAGGCTGTGAGTGGTGTGGGAACCCCTGTGCACCCGCAAGAGTGCATGGCGTTGGCCACGTGGATAGTGGGCTCCAGGATGTGGAGTGTGCGCGAGGGGTGGGGAGGGCTGGGGCGGAGGAGTGGCAGGCATGGGACTGGCTGGGAAGAGACTGGGCTGAGCGTGGGGTCACCCCAGGGCCATATTCCTAGGCAGCGAAGGGTGCCTGGGGGTGTCAAGGCAGCGCAGAGCACTGTGCGGCTGATAGGTCCAGCTGAGGCTGCAAGGGTGCAGCTGGACGTAGCTCCCGTGCCCTGGCTCAGGGTGATGCTCTCCCCATCTGCATTGCTGCTCCTATGGCATGATCCTTGTGCTTAAGGGAGGGTGGTGACCCATATATTTTTGGGGTGTCTGAGGGCAGGAGGGATGTACAGCTGTGCACCCAGTTCAGCTTGCTGAGGGTAGGACTTGTAGCATGGACACTCGCCTGCCATACCCTCCTGCCCTCCCCCTGGCTGGCCAAAATCCCCTGTCCCAGGCATTTCTCACCTGGTGGTGTTGGTTCACAGGAGACCCAATGCAGAGCAGACCCTGGAGCACCCCTGGTTCAAAGTGAGTCTCGTCAGGGACCTGGAGGCGGTGGGGTTCCTCTGAGGCAGCTGCAGGGTCCATGTGATGATACTCTCCCCTCTTCTTGCAGACTCTGGCCAAGGGGAAGGTCATCAGCACTGACCACCTAAAGCTCTTCCTCTCCCGTCGGAAATGGCAGGTAAAGGCAGGAGGAGGGTAAGGGCAGGTAAAGACAGGGCTGTGAGCTGGGCAGGGTGAAGAGGGCTGCTGGGCTGGGGATGTGCCATATGCTGGGCTGGATGGGGTGCTGTGGAGGGCTGGGTGATGCTGTGCACTGGGCTAAATGGTGCTGGGCCATCTGCCTGGGCCTGATGCAGCACTCACCACTCTGTGCAGCGCTCGCAGATCAGCTACAAGTGCAATATGGTGCTGCGGCCGATCCCTGAGCTGCTGGAGGACACGTCCAACCACCTGTCCATCGCAGTGCCCCGGCACCTCAAGGAGTCTCCAGCTCTGTCATCCTCCTCAGACTCGGATGACTTGGACGAGCTCCCCTTCATCCCCATGCCGCACCAGGTGGAGTTCTCCGGCTCCCGCATGTCACTCAATGAGATCCCCACGGACGATGAGGCCATGGGGCCAGCTGAAGGACCACGGGAGGAGGCGGCCGTGCCAGGGGAGGTGTCCGCCATGGAGTGGCAGAGCGAGGGCACAGGGAAGCCAGTGGTGGCCCTGGGAAAGAGGCCAAGGGGTGCAGTGCCACGGCGGCCCTACGCGGAGGCAGAGGCACCCGGCTCCTCCGATGAGGAAGCCCCGGAGGCCCAGAAGCGGCCAGAGCATCCCCGCAAAGCTGTGAGGAAAGGCTCCAGCCTGGAGTCCCCGGAAAGCACCCGCAGGGCGGCCCAGAGGGGCGAGCTGAAGCGAGGCAGCTCCGCCGATGGTGG